CGGAGACACCGGCTGCGCCGTGCGATTCCCTCCACGGGGGAGGGGTGCAACACGCTGAAGGAGAGCGGCATCGTCCGCGCATACAGAAGCGGAGGTGTATTGGCAGCTTCTTTCGAGTGCGGCATTGTCGCGCCCCCGCTGCGATTTCACGTGGCGGAGTCGCTCCCGCAGGTCGCGTCCTACGTGCAGAGGCTGACGGGGGCGACCGCTGCCTTGAGGGTCTTGGGCTACGACGACTGGTGCCACCTGCACGCGCACATCCTGAAGCGAGGCCCCCAGGAGCTCCAAAGGCTGCAAGGCTTCATTGACAGGTGGCACCAGAAAGGGCACAAGCAGCTGAAGTGTTGGTGCCACTACCACGCAGATCGGTTCAGCCGCGCTTACGAGTGGACCGAGGAGACCGTGGTCGACGACAGTGAGCGGGATGCCCTCGTTGCCCGGCTCGCGGGCGGCACGCTGCAACTGCACGACATTAATGACCAAGGGTTGCCTTCGGCTCCCCCGTGCGCAGTTCTTTTCGCCGTAGCTACTGGGAAGCTGCCGTTGCAGCTCACCTTCGTTCCGACGGCGCCCGCTGGCCAGGCGGAGGCTTTCAATGTCATGTGGGTCCGATCTGAGGGCGGCCGCGCGCGCGTTTTGGCCGCGCTCCGCAAGGAGACGTTGACCCTCCGCTACGCCCTGCTTAACGTGGGGTGGAACGCCCCTGCTGAGTCGCGCCTGTTCTCCGCGACACCCCATGGGGCGCCCGCGGTGTCGGGGTACACGGCCCTCGCCTTGCGAGACATGCTAATCCACGCCGAGCTACCCTGTCGGGTGCAGCTGCGCCGGAGGCGCTGGTCTGCAACCATGGAACGCCAGTGGCGCTGCCTGAACAAAGTCAGGCACTCCTTGAACAACGTTTCGCCTGTTGCCTTTGACGTGGTGCTCCTCCACTGCGTGGACATGCACAACGCCCGCAAAATGCGGCGCGTCGAGGCGACGGCGGCAGAGGACTGACTGTTCGATACGAGGCTCGGGGCACTCGGTGAAACAGATTTTGAGGGCACTCGGTGAAACAGATTATGAGGCGATGGACTACGAGGAGTCGGCCAAAGGGAGTAGGAGAGGAGGGAAGGGGTGGGAGGGGTCTCCGAGGGCGGTTGGACAGCGACCGCGCGAGGGGGGCCCACTGTGCGATCGTCATTCGGGGGGGGGGGGCTCCCGGAGGCCAAGACAGCCCGCTGCACTTAAGGGGCCCTTAAGTGCAGCGGATCTGCTCCTTCTTCGGGGGGGCGCCCGGAGCCCCAGACAGTCCGCTGTATGTAAGGGCCCTTAAGCCTTCAGACCACCAGATCTGCTCCTTCTTGCGGGGGCCTCCCGGGGCCCCAGACAGTCCGCCGTACTTCACGGGCCCTTAAGTGCCACATATCTGCTTCTCCTTTGGGGGGGGCCTCCCGGAGGCCAAAACAGCCGGCTGCACTGGATTTGCTTCTCTCGCGAGGGCTTGCCGGAAGCCGAAACAGCCCGCTGCACTTGAAGAGTCTTTAAATGCTTTTTCCTTGCGGGGCCTTCCCGGAGCCCCAAACAGTCCGCTGCACTTAAGGGCCCTTTAAGTGCAGCGGATCTGCTCCCCCTTGCGAGGGCCTCCCGAAGCACAACGCAGTCCGCTGCACTTAAGGGGCCCTTGAGTGAAGCGGATCCGCTCCCCGTTGCGAGGGCCTCCCGGGGACGTCAGCCAGTCGGCCAGTCCTCCAGTCGGCTGCTCGGCTAGTCGGCCAGTCGGCCGGTCAGCCGGTCGGCTGGTCGGCCAATCGTCCAGTCGGGGAGTCGGCCAATCGGGCGGTCGGTGGCCAATCGACCGAGTTGTGAGGATGTCTCGAGCGGACGCGCTCGAGTTGCGAGGATGTCTCGAGCGTCGGTGAGGAGGTCGCGAGCGGGTGCGCACAAGTTATGAGGAAGTCTCGAGCGACAGTGCCCGAGTTGTGAGGACGTCTCGAGCGGCGGCGCTTTCTGCGGACACCCCCAGAGAGCCCAAAGCCGTCCCCCCCTTCCTTCCTGCCGACCCGTCCGGATCCAAGGGGTAGGGGGGAGTGGACGAGGAACCGATGGAAGAGGCGTCCTCCCAGCCTGAGAGGCGCCTCCCGGAGGCCTCCCCCTAGCCTGCGGGGGGGCCTCCCGGAGACCTCCCCCAAGGCTGGGGGGAGGCCTCCCAGGGAGGCCTCCAGGAGGTCTGGGGCAGGCCTGGGGGAGGCCTCCCCCCAGCCTGGGGGGAGGTCCGGGGGGGGAGATCTGGTGGAGGCTTCCCCCAGGCCTCCCAGAGGCCTCCCCCAGCCTGGGGGGAGGTCTCCGGGAGGCCTCCCCCAGACCTCCCGGAGGCCTCCCCCAGGCCTGGGGGAGGACCAGGGGAGGCCTGCCGGAGACCTCCCCTGGTCCTCCCGGAGACCTCCGTCGTCCACGAGCCCTCCTCCGACGGCCGCGACCCCAGACCTGGGGGAGGTCTGGCGGAGGCCTCCCCCCAGACCTGGTGGAGGACCAGGGGAGGCCTCCTGGAGGCCTCCCCTGGTCCTCCACCAGGCCTGGGGGAGGTCTGGTGGAGGACCAGGGGAGGTCTGGTGGAGGCCTCCCCTACCTCGCCGGAGGGCCTCCTGGGAGGTCTGGTGGAGGACCAGGGGAGGTCTGGTACCAGACCTGGTGGGGGACCAGGTAGGTGTGGACCCTTACCGCTGAGGCCGAGGCTGAAGGCAGACTGAGGCTGAGGCTGAAGCAGGCTGAGGCTGAGGCTGAGGCAGCCTGAGGCTGAGGCTGATGCAGGCTGATGCTGAGGCAGGCTGAGGCTGAGGCTGAGGCTGAGGCTGAGGCTGAGGCTGATGCAGGCTGAGGCTGAGGCAGGCTGAGGCTGAGGCCGAGGCTGAATGCAGACTGAGGCTGAGGCTGAAGCAGGCTGAGGCCGAGGCTGAGGCAGGCTGAGGCTGAGGCTGAGCAGGCTGATGCTGAGGCAGGCTGAGGCTGAGGCTGAGGCTGATGCAGGCTGAGGCTGAGGCAGCTGAGGCTGAGGCCGAGGCTGAAGGCAGACTGAGGCTGAGGCTGAAGCAGGCTGAGGCTGAGGCTGAGGCTGAGGCAGGCTGAGGCTGAGGTGATGCAGGCTGAGGCTGAGGCAGGCTGAGGTTGAGGCCGAGGCTGCAGCAGCTGAGGCTGAGGCTGAGCAGGCTGAGGCTGAGGCTGAGGCAGCTGAGGCTGAGGCTGAGGCTGAGGCTGAGCAGGCTGAGATGCTGAGGCTGCAGGCTGAGGCTGAGCAGCTGAGGCTGAGGCAGGCTGAGGCTGAGGCTGAGGCTGATGCAGGAGGCTGAGGCAGGCTGAGGCTGAGGCCGAGGCTGAGGCAGACTGAGGCTGAGGCTGAAGCAGGCTGAGGCCGAGGCTGAGGCAGGCTGAGGCTGAGGCAGGCTGAGGCTGAGGCTGTGACTGCGACTGCCGTTGCCACTGCGACTGTCATCGCGAATGCGACTACGACTGCGAGAACAGCAGAATTCTACAGCTGGATTCTCATCTGAATCGTAAGGGGAATTCTTCCAGATATGCTCCTACACATCGCTGTTAGGTTGCTTTGCCGGGATAGTTGTTTCTCCGACTGTGCTATTGTGGTTTCTGTTGCCGGTAGGCCTCCTTGGGGACCGTGTCTTTGGCCCTAGGGTTTACGTTGGTTCGATCTTGAAAAGTTTCTCGGGCGGCGTCGGTGTGTCGGTTTCATTCGAGGGATTACCAACGTGGCGGCCCACAACGATTGTAGGACGAAGGCATTTTTCAGGAAGAAACTTACCGTTGAACTGGGAACGAAATTGCAGACAAGGCTGCCAAGAAAGGAGCCAACCTCCATTCTCTGCCTGACCGTCCTTTTCGAGAGGGGGTGGACAAGTATTCAAACGTGTCACATGCTGGTATTCGATTGGCCGCCAAGGCCTTCCCCCCATGGCCAACGTGTTATACGTAAGCCTGAGGTTTCGGCCAAGACCCAAAGGCCGAGGGAATGTTTTAACCTATGTTTAGACTTGTTGGCAGTCTGATATTCGTCTGGGAGGGAAGACAGGGCAGAGCCGCTCCCCTCCGGGCATTTGCTCGGTGCCCCCTCGCCTAACGCCGAATTCCAGAAGTGCTCGCTGCAAACGGCCATCGCTAAGCACTGCTCGATTGCTCCGATGAGCCGTTCTTGTGTATTTGCTTGGACTGACATCACTACAGCACGGGCGGCGGGATGTTCAAGCTGGCCTCCCCCTGCGCGAGAAAGGAGGAGTCTGGTGTTTGGAGGACCGCCTGAAAGATCGTTGTATGAAGGCAGGCGCCCCCCAGCAGAACGACTTCGTCCACCTTGGTCTTTCTGGCTGAGGGCATGTATCCAGTAACAATCCGCAGGAGCCACGCGAACCCGCCAGAGCTCCTCGACGCCATCCCCCCTGGTCCGCCACCGGACCTCCCCACCCTCCCCCCCCCCTTCTCCTTCACCCTCTTCCCCCGTTTATCCCCCCCTTTCCCACCCTCCCCAGCCCCCCTCCCCCGCCCCCCCCCCTCGATACCCCCCCTCTCCCTCCCCCCCCCCCTCCCCTCATCCCCGTGAGGCTGGCCCTCTCCTCCTCCCTGGCCCACCCCTTCCTCCTCCCTCTCCTCCCCCCCTCCCCCACAGCAACGAACGACGGCGCCGGCGGACATCCCTGCGGCAGGGATGTCCCTACGGCAGGGAAGAGGGTGGAGGGAGGAGGAGGGATGAGGGAAGGAGGGAAGGAGGGAAGGAGGGATGGAGGGAGGAGGGGATGGAGGGAAGGAGGATGGAGGGAAGGAGGAGGATTAAGAGGAAGGAGGATGGAGGAGGAGGGAGTAGAGGAGGAGGAGGTTGAGGAGAAGGAGGAGGAGGAGGAGGAGGAGGAGGAGGGGAGAAAGAGGAAGAGGAAGAGGAGATGATATGATGATGATGATGATGATGAATGAGGAGGAGGAGGAGGAGGAGGAGGAGGAGGAGGAGGAGGAGGAGGGGCCCCTCCCCCGTTCCCGGCGCGGGCGGCGGGCGACAGGGACGTCGGCCGAGAAGCTCAGGAGGAGGCGCCTCGTCAGATTGGAGGCGCCCCGCGGCGCTGTCGCCCCGCGCCCCCGCCACGCCCCCGCGGACGAGGGGAGGGCGACTCCAGTGCAGTCACCAGAGGGGCGTCTTGGGGCTCGCTCGCTCCTCCTCCTCCTCTTCCTTCTCCCCCTCCTCCTTTACCTTCTCCTCCTCCTCCTTGTCCTCCTCCTCCACTTCCCTGAAGAGCCCTGGGGGCCCCTCCCCACCGTCTCCCACAAGATGTGGACTGAAATCGCCTGCCCCCTGTTTACCAAGTGAAATGAATGTGGGGGGTCACGCGCACAGAACCGCCTCCCTAAACGGTCCCACGCCCCACACTGTTACAGGTTGTTGGCCTTCCTTTGCAGAGGCCTCGCCCCCCCCTGCGTGTCGTGCTCTTGGCGGGCGGGAGGCGCAGGGTGGATAGTCAATCTGGCCGTGCACGGGGCCGCGCCTGAGAGGGCGCTGGCCCCGCAGGGGGTGCGTGGCTCACCTCCCTGCGGACTTGAGGCCTGCTCTTCTCTGGCCGGGCCCCCCCCGCCTCGCTGTTCAGGGCTGGACCTAAACGGTGTTTTGGCGATTTCGTGGGCCGTTTTTGTCATGACTTCGTTTTGCGGTAGAGGTGGATTAAAGACAAAATGAGGGAGAACGAACACAAAACGAGCACGAAAAGCACAGTTTAGGTTCAGCCCTGTCGCTGTTCTCTTCGGTCTGTCGTTGCTGGTTGTTGGGGCGTGGGCAGCGAAGCTGCCCCGCTCGCCTGTGGGGCCCCCTGCTCTGCTCCCGGGGGGGCCCCCTGCGTGCCCCCCCTGGCTGCTTCGGGTCTCGGGGGCTGCGTCGGACCGAGGCGCGAGAGGAGCGGAGAGCCCGCCCCCCCCCCCCCCCCCCCCGCGTTCGCGCCCGCCCCCGATCCTGGACTGCCAGTACGTTCCTTTCCCCCCCCCCCCCCCCCCGTCGCGTGCTGCCCCTCGCCCCCTCGAGGAGGAGAGGGGAGGAGGTGGAGGATGAGGAGGAGGAGGAGGAGGAGGGAGGAGGAGGAGAGGAGGAGGAGGAGGAGGACAGGAGGAGGAGGAGGAGGAGGAGGAACAGGAACAGGAGCAGGAACAGGAACAGGAACAGGAACAGGAACAGGAGCAACAACAGGATGAGCAGGAGAAGGAGGACGAAGAGGAGGAGGAGGAGTACTTCGCCCATCGATGCTGAGGCCTGCTTTCCCCATGGGACCTCCGCCGCCGCCTGCCCGCCAGGCGCCGGCGCAGCAGGCGGTGCCGCGGGGGTCGGCGCCGCGCCGCGGGCTCGGGGCGCGCGCCTTGCCGTGGTCGTCGCTGTCGCCGACGCACCGGCGATGCTGCGCGATCCCCGATCCCATCCATTCGGATCCCATTGTCGGCGACTACACAGGTTACGTCGGGCCTGTCCCCCCTACAGGGGGATTTCCGACGAAAAATAAGAAATACCCCCAAAAAATAGTCCAAAGATAGTCCAAACATAGTCTGGGGACTATTTTTCCGGGTATTTGTTGACCTTTCTGGGGTATTTTTGTTTTTTTTATTTTTCGTCGACAATCCCCCTGTAAGGGGACAGGCCCGACTTAATACAAAGGGTCTGGTTAGGCCGGGGTGTGGTTTGCGATTGGCACCGTCGTGGCCTGGGGGGGCACGACGCCGTCCTCGTCGGGCCTCCCCGGGGCGCGGGAGGACTCCATCGAGGTTCCCGCGCGCCCCCTAGGGTGCCCCTCAGGATGTTCCTCAGGGTGCCGGTTGCAAACCACACCCTTTGCAAACCGCACCCTTTGGAGTCGCCGAATTTGGAAGGCCTCTACCCTAGGCCTCCTAGATGGGATCGGAGCAGACGGGGTCGGATGATCGCGCCGCATCGCCGATGCATCGGCGATGCGGCTCGATGTGGAGCCCGATTCGCTCCACGCCGACGTCGCTGGGCCTTTGGCAATGTTCGCCGTCGTCGTCGCCATTGCAGGCCCGTCGCCTTTTGCGGTCGTTGGAGGCAGCGGGTAATGTCGGGGGGGGATGAGCTCAGGGGGGAGCGCATCAACCCCCTGAGGCCAACTCATCAGTGGCAGGGGCCCGGTAGCCCACCCCGCACAGGACCGTGCGCTCTCGCCATCCATTGTACGTGGCGGACCCATTGGCGATGTGTATCGCCGATTCGAGGCCGATGTTTCCCTCTTGAACTGGTCCCCCCATCGTTCGCCTGCCTCGGGTCGTCTTCGCCGTTGGCAGTAGAAGTCGTCGTCTTCGTCGTCGTCGTCGTCGTCACTGCTGCCGTTGTCTTTGTCTTCGTCTTCGTCTCCGTCGTGCTGGAGGCGGCACGGTGCGGGTGCCAGTCGTGCGATCGGGGTTCGGGAAAGGAGGAGGGGGGAGGACGGGGGTGGAGGATGAACATCGGGAGGTGAACATGGAGGAGGGTCGGATGGACGAAGGGTCAACAGGAAGTGAAGTTGCTGACCCGCTCCCGTGCCCTGCTCGTCTGCATCCTCCTCCTCCTCCTCCTCCCTTTCCTCCTCCTCCTCCTCCTCCTCATCCTCCTCGTCTTCGTGCTCCTCGGCCTCGTCCTCCTGCGCGCCTTCTCTTCTCCACGGCCTCCTCTCTCACCCCCCCTTTGCCCTCGCTGGCCTCCCCCCCCCTCCTTGCTCGCCCGGTCCTCGCCCCCTGCTTGCCGTGCCCCTCTCCGCGTGCGCAGCCCTCTCTTCCCGGACGCCCCTGCGCGGCCCCTCTCCGCACCTCTTCTGCAACGCCTGGGCCGCAGCGCAACACGTTCACGATCGGAACGAGCTGCCGATGATGATGCTGATGATGCTGATGATGATGATGATGATGATGATGAGGATGATGAGGATGATGATGATGATGATGATGATGATGATGATGATGATGATGATGGGAATGATGGTGATGGTGATGTTGATGGTGATGGTGATGGTGATGGTGATGGTGATAAAGATGATCATCATTCATCGTTCATCGTTCACCGTTCATCGTTCATCATTCTCATCCTCTCTCCTCCGCGGCCACCGCTCGACTGCCTCCGTTCTGCCTGTGCTTGCGTTGGTCCGCAGCGGCTCTGTGCGTGACCCACCGGCTCGCGCGATCGCCGAGCCTGCGACAAAGAAGCCGTCTCTCCGCGTCCCCTCATCCGATCTCCGCTCCCAATCCCACGTCCTCCCTCCCTCCACCCTCCCCTCCGAAGTGAAAGCAGCAGGGTGACTTTGCCCTAGCTGCTGTGGAAAGCAGCGCGAAGCGCTGTTGAAACCTGGAGAAGCCCCCGGGCAGCAAGAAGCCCTGGCGCGATGCGGGAGCAACGCCAGGTGACGTCAGGCCCCCCCCCCCACACCTCCGTCTCCCGCGCCCCCCCCCCTGGTCGCAGCCCCCCTCCCCCTCCCGCCCCCCTGGCCCCCTCCTCCGGGTTGCGCCGCTGAGGCCACGTCCTCGACCGCCCGCTGGGGCGGCGGAGGAGTATGGCGGAGGCGCTGCCGCGGGGGGGTCGCGGGTGATCGCGGGGGGGGTCGCGGGGGGTTCGGGCTTAGTGGGCCTTGGGAACGACAGGGCCGTTTTTTTACCGGTTCCGTTTTGCCGTTTTTGTTGACGGTTCCGACGCCGTTTTTGCACCGGTTTTGTCACCGTTCTTTTACGGGTTCCCGCTCCGGTTCCAATCCTGGAGCCGTTTTGGGTGCCGTTTCCGGTCGCCGTTTTTGTTGCCGTTTCCATTTTCAAGGGATATTTTTTTCGGAAGCGGTGAAAAAACGGCCCTGTCGTTTCCGGGGCCCACTAAGGGTTCGGGACGGTCGAAATGGGCACGGAAAGACTGGGTACGATGCCCAGCAGCAGTTCCTGCGCATTTCGAGCAGGACTCGCTGTTCGCGCCGCCGCGGGCGCTGTTCTCTGCAGACGAAGAGAGCCGCCGCCTGCCCTGCAGCGGCCGCTGTCGGTTTTGGACAACAAAATTGGCTGTTGGGCATTGAACATTTTTTTCCATACAGCCGGGGCCCTGAAGAAGGAACCCTTTTCGTTGGGGAGGGGCTCGGTGTTCCTTGCTTGTTGTGCAGATTGCATTCGGTTTCCCGAAGGTTTTCCATGGGGAATCGAGGTTCAACTTTTGGGAGAAAGGGGCCTCGTTCCTTACTTAGGGTTCCTTAGGTCAACGCCCCGACTGTGCCCCCTTTCGGGCGTCTTGAAAAGGGGCCGCGGGATTCGCGGGGGGGTCGCGCGTGCAGTGCCCAGGGAGGTCGCAGGAGTGGGGGGGGGGCGCAGGAGGGCCGCGGGGGAGGGGGGGGGGTCGCGCGGGGGGGGGGGGGGGCAGGTCGCGTCGCGTCGGGTCGCGTCGAAATGCTGCCAGTCCGAGCGCGCCCCTGGAGAGGACTGGAGCAGCGGTATCGGCAGTGTTGTTTGCCCCCCCAGTACTCGGGCGTCCAGAGCCCCGAATCATCAGGGGTAACTCGGGTCAGGGCTAGCTCGGGTTCGTTTTTTCGGGAATCCAAGCCCGAGTTACCCCGGGCCCGAGTTACCCCGGGCCCGAGTTACCCCGGATAACTCGGGCGCCCAAGAGGGGAGGGCGCCGATTTAGCGTCGACTGGCGGCGTCGTTTAGCGCCGATGTGGCGTCGACTCGCAAGAAGAGCCAACAAGAGAGTCAAGTCAAGAAACGCCCTGCTCGCCTCCAGGGTGCCCTGGGTTTCCTGGGTTCCGATGGTCTTGTCGTGGAAGGCGTGGCGTTCCCACACCAGGCATCAATGGACGTCCTGGGATTCCAGGGCTGGGTTTGCTGTGGAGGATCTCTTGTGGTCGAGCTCCTACTGCATGGGAGACTCCCATGGATTCATCGAGGGGAGCAGAACCCCTGACCCTAACAACACTATGAAGACGTGGCCTTACTGCGGTCCCCGTCCTCGCATTCATTGATAATGAATCTTGGCGGTTTGGTCTGATACATCTGCTGAGGACAAGCCCATCTTATCCCTCGTGTTCTGGGAACTCCTCACTTCGGTTCCCTCCCGAAGGATTAGTAGGGGAATGAATAATGACATAAGCATAAAAACTCGGAGGTCCGCGCGGATTTCTCAGATCGGCGTCGGACCCCCCTCCCTGGTGCGCGGAGCGCGCCAGGGGCGGCGCGGGAGGCACCGCCAGGGGGTTCCAGCGCGGATCCGAGAAATCCGCGCGGACCTCCGAGTTTTTATGTTCATGTGATTCTTCGTTCCCCTGATTCGGGGTCCTTTTGTGTTTCACCGCGTGCGTCGTTCAAACTACTCGCACAGTGTCTGGCCGCAAGTGTCCGAAGCGAGCACGGCTCTCTCTCTCTCTCTCTCTCTCTCTCTCTCCACGCAGTGCAGCGTACGAGTCCCCCGCGGCGGATCCAGGCCACCTGCGAGCAGTGAGGCCGCGAGTGGTGGAGCGCGCCTGCCCCTTTCTGCTGCTGGCCGTGCCCTGCCGCCGGAGGAGAAGTTCCCCAACCTGGCGTCCCTGTTCGGCCAGGGCGGCCACGGGGAGCGCGGGCGCGAGCCCTCCGCGCCCTCGGCGGGCCGCGGGCGCGCCCGCGCCGCGCCCGCCCGGGGGCCTCCCGCTCGGCTCGGGTCCCGTCCCTGGCTGCGCCTGGCGAGGCTCGTCGGGGGCGGGAAAGAGGGGTGGGATGACGGGGGGGGGGGGATGTCATGGCGGGGGCCATGCTATTTCCCCAGATCTCGTGGCGCCTCTTCTTAGTTCATTACGCCCCCCTGGCCCCCCCGCTGGGCCGCGCACGTGCCGCCGGGCATGATTTGCCCCCCCCCCCCTCTTGGACACCTCCCTCTTGGCCGCTCCCGAGGTTCGGTCGGGCACGTCCTCCTGCAGAAGGGATTTGGGACGAGACCTGGAAAATAGGCAAGCCAGATCCCACAGCACACAACACGTGGTCGAAGCATGGGCCCCAGGCCATGCGTTCACCGTTCTTGAGCAAGTCCTCCTGTAGAGGGGCATGCCCGACATGCCATGCGTTCACCGTTTATGAACATTCCTCCTGTCGGGCATGTCCTCCTGCAGAAGGGATTTGGGACGAGACCTGGAAAATAGGCAAACCAGATCCCACAACACACAACACGTGGTCGAAACATGGGCCCCAGGCCATGCGTTCACCGTTCTTGAGCAAGTCCTCCTGTAGAGGGGCATGCCCGACATGCCCTGCGTTCACCGTTTATGAACATTCCTCCTGTCGGGCATGTCCTCCTGCAGGAGGGATTTGGGACGAGACCCGGAAAATAGGCAAGCCAGATCCCACAGCACACAACACGTGGTCGAAGCATGGGCCCCAGGCCATGCGTTCACCGTTCTTGAGCAATTCCTCATGTAGAGGGACATGCCCGACATGCCATGTGTTTACCGTTTCTGAGCATTCCTCCTATCGCAGGAGGGATTTGGGACGAGACCTGGAAAATAGGCAAACCAGGTCCCACAACAGACGAAACGTGGTCGGAACTCTCGGCCCCCGGCTGTGTGTTGACTGTGTTTGAGCACTCCTCCTGTGGAGGGGCATGCCCGACTTGCTGCTGCGGGCCTCGCTCGTCGGGGTGCTTCTCCTACGCGGGTGGCGCCTCCGTCGGCGCAGCAGGGGGGGCGCGAGCGCCCACCCCGCCCGGGCGAGCGCAGAGGTCCGCCAGTCGGCGGCCTCTGGCCAATCTCTCCTTCTCCTCCTCCTCCTCCTCCCCCTCCTCCTCCTCCTCCTCCTCCTCCTCCTCCTCCTCCTCCTCCTCCTCCTCCCTCCCTCCCTCCCTCCCTCCCTCCGTCCCTCCCTCCCTCCCTCCCTCCCTCCTCCCTCCCTCCCTCCCTCCCTCCCTCCCCCCCTCCCCCCTCCCCCTCCCCCTCCCCCTCCCCCTCCCTCCTCCTCCTCCTCCTCCTCCTGGCACCTGTGCCACTCCTGTTTGCCCGTAGGGGCCAGGAGGGAAACGGCGGGTAGCAGCCCGATCGTCACCCCTGCTTGCCCGTAGGGGCCAGGGGGAGAGACAAAATGCATCTCGTCGCCAGCTCCTTCCTTGCGGTGGCCCGGCACGTACACCGCGTGCGCCTGGGCGGGGTAGCGGGTCCCGTGCGGGGGGCTCACTGGTGGACCCCGCACCAATCCCTCCCACGGCCAGGGTGCCCCGCCCTGGCGTGCGTGGGGGTGCGGAATCGCCCGTTGGGAGTGGCGCCCCCTCGGGTGGCTTGGGGCGGCACGATGGTGTCGTGATCTGAGCCCTACGGGGCGGACGCAGCTCGAAAACCGAATGTAGGTGGCAAGCGTGCTGGCCCAGCGTGCTGGCTGCGAGGGGCTGAAAACCCCCGTTCCTTGCCCCTTGGTGCGGGCCGTGTCAATGTGCACGTAAGCCCTTCCCAGGCGCACAAAGCGCCGACAGGGGAAGCTCCCTGTCTTCGCCAGCTGCTCATCGGTGAGATTTGTAGTTTGGTTGTTAATCGTCCTCTAATCGTCCCCTCCTCCTCCTCCGCCTCCTCCTCCTCCTCCTCCTCCTCGTCCTCCTCCTCCTCGGCGATGTGCCGCCGAGTGCAGCCCGAGGGCCCCAGGGGACGGGTGAGCTGTGTGGTGCGTGGCATATCCCCACGAGCCCATCCAGAGACGATACATGCTCTGGGTTTCTCAAGACGCGTGGAGGGGTACCCCCCCGACGGGGGGTCAATTTCGCCTCGTCGTCGCGCCGCGACGGGGGTCGGAGCGCCTTCGGCGCGCGGTAGTGGCTGCCCGCGACGGGGGTCGATGTGGGGCTGTCGGCGGGGGTGATGCCCCCCCGACGACGCTTATCAAGAAACGCGGAGTAATCGAATTGCCTTGATCAGGGAAGTTTGGCAGCATGTTGCGACACGAAGAGCGCGGGCAGGCGTTTTGTTCTTTCGCTCGCTGCCCGCCCGTGTTCGCATCTGTTTCGGTAGTTTGAGATGCATCCCGTTGAGATTGAGCTGTTCCTGACAGCGGCGGAGAGACGCCCAAACGCCAGGCGTAAACCACAGTGGTGTTTGATGTAAGTCGGGCACGTCCCTCTACAGGAGGAATGTTCAAAAAGTGTGGAACAATAGTCTGGGGACGAGTTGTTTGAGTATGTTCGGCTATGCTTAAGCACTGTTTGGGGGGTATTTCCCATTTTTCCTCGACGACCCGCCTGAAGTAGGACATGCCCGACCTAGTGCTTGATTATTGTTGCTATATTGCGGCCCCCTTGTGGAGCTCTTCGTGACTCTTGGGTCCTTCCTGGGGCCGCTGTCGAGAGCCTCTGGGGCTCTCCTGGGGCCTTCCTGGGGCCCTCTCGGTGGGCCTCGGGTCCGAGGCCCATCGCAAGCGAACGAGCGACAAGGCCGAAAAGCAAGGGACAGTTTTTTGTTATCCATTGTTTTGCCGATCGGCGCTGGCCCTCGCACCCCCCCCATCGAGTAGATCTTTGCTGTTTTGGGCGCCTGTTTCGGGCAGGTGGAGCCCCTCTTCCCAGAGGCAGCTGTCTTGCAACCAATCGCAGTGAGCAGAGGTCTGGAGCCAGACCCCCCCCCTCCCCCCCTCCTTTCCGCCCAATGTCGAAACGCCGACTAAAAAACGTTCACCAACTGGTCTCAGGTTTCGGAGGTTTTCGGCCTCTGGGGGGACGCCTGAGGAGGTTCCATGGTCGCTGGAGGGCTGGCTTAGAGCAGTCTGGGCGTCTCTTGGAGGCATCTTGGGGGCCCTCTTCAGCCGCCTTGGATGTATTCAAAGCAGTCTTGGAAGCGATCCGTGTTTGGGCATTCCGAGCCTCGCTGGGCAACAGAAGCACTGACACCTCGGGACCGCACCCCCTTCACGACCCGGCGGAGGGGGGGTACGCAGTCGCGGGAATGGGAGGGGTAAATCGTTCCGCGAAGGGGAAGACGGGGCTTGGCAGAGGGAACGCCTTACAGTCAAGACGCTGCAAGAAGGACCGCTCCAGGCTCTCCGGAGGGGCTCGAGGGCCGAGTATTTTTGGGGGGTGGAGGGCAAAGGGTGAAATTTGAAATGCCGTTTCGATTGATTTTGGAGGTTTGAATTTGCAAAAGGTGCATCACAAGACGGATTGGCTTTGAGGTGCAAAAGCCCATATGGATTTCACCCTGAGCCCTCCACCTTAAGAAAAACTCAGGAGGAGCCTGAGCGTGGCCGAAGGCTCGTCATGGCCAGGAACGCCCTACTCGTTGCTTCTTCGGTGCCACTTGTGCCCCCTTCGCCGAGGACTGTAGACCAAGGGCCCCCACGGGGGCGCGAAGTTGTTCGCGGCTCGCGATTGGCGACTCCTCATCCTCATACTCCTCCTCCTTCTCCGCCTCCTCCTCCGCCTCCTCTTCCTCCTCTTCCTCCTCTTCCTCCTCCTCCTCCTCCTCCTCCTCCTCCTCCTCCTCCTCGTGGCCAGAAGAGCTCCCTCGCTCTTTTTGCAGCGGCCTTGTTGTGGCAGCACGGCGACTGTGCCCGAGAGGCCGTCAGGGCGGCCCTGACCGCTCCTCACACGTCCTCCGACATGAGTTTCTCGAGGCGCGGCTCTGGAGCTCCCGGCCCCTTCCTTGCGCTCGGGATCCACGCTTAGTGGTTCGGCAGGCCCGCTATCAGGATAGCCCGAACAGTTTGGTGGCCACACCGTGTGGTGAGTCAGTGGGGATTCGGGGTCACTGCACGATTTTGGGAACCTGGTCGCCTTCCCGAGACGTCTGGGGCGACCGGAGCGTCCAGGGTCTCAAAACCGTGTGGTGACGGTTCGTGTGTTGGGGTCTTTGGGGATTTCGAGGTCACCGCACGGTCTGTCACCGCGTCGTTCTGGGACCAACAAGGTCGATCCCGGGCGCCGCCAGGAGGTCCCAGCTTCGATCCGAGAAATCCGCGTGGAGTTCCAAAAGATATGTGTGCATCTAGGCCTCCTAGCTGGGGTCGGAGCAGATGGGGTCGGAGGATCGCGCCGCATCGCCGATGCATCGGCGATGCAGGTCTGGTCTCGCCGCTCGTGCCGCGGGGCCGCCGCGGCGAGGTACGGCGGGAGAGGCGGCGCCGAGGAGCGCGCGGGCTTGATGAGCCAACAGGATGCTCATTGCGCCAGGCCCTATGCACCGCCTCCTCGCGGCACGAGGGGCTGATGGGCACGTCGAATAGCAGAGTTTGCGGCACGGAGGAGTCAGGAAGGAAGAGGAGGAGGAGAAGGAGGAGGAGGAGGAGGAAGAGGAGGAGGAGGAGGAGGAAGAGAAGGGGACGGAGGAGGAGGAGGAGGAGAAGGAGACGGAGGAGGAAGGATGGGGGTCTGAGTAGTTATGCCAGTCGACATCTGCTAAGACGTGGGGAATCGACCTAATCCCTGGAGGGCCACGCGGATTCCCTGGGTCGGCGCTGGGCCTCCCCTGGCGGCGCCGCTGCCATCGCCCCTGGCGCGCTCCGCTCGCCAGGGAGGGGGGGGTCCAGCGCAGGACCAGGGAAACCGCGCGGACCTCCGAGAAGTATGTTACTGAACAACTCAAATGCGCGGTGCCTGGAGCCTCGCGCTAGAATAGCAATGGGACATGGAAGCAGTGGAAATACAGGTTGCTTCTGTCGAGTGCGTCATGTGCGACCAATCCGTGTTTGTGGGCAGACTGTTCACATAGACGTATGGGAAAGAAGAGAAGGATGGTCTGAGCACGCTGCGTGGCATGTGCAATAAAAACGTGGCGACCCATGTCAAGAAACAGCCTGCTTGCCTCCAGGGTGCCCTGGGTGTCTTGGGTTTCGGTGGTTCCGCGATGGAGTCGTGACGTTCCCGCGCCACAGATCGATCGACGTCCTGGAGTCTCAGGGTTGGGTTTCTCGTGGAAGATGTCTTTGTGGACTGGCCTCAACCGTATGCCGTTCTTCGTTCCGCTAGACTTCTGTCGGGTTTGGCCCCCTACAGGGGGATTTTCGACGATAAAAAAAAAAAAAACACCCCAACAATACCCCAAAAAGGTCAAACAATGCTCAAACAATAGTCCCCGGACTATTTTTGGACCATGCTCTTATTTTGTTGGGGGTATTTTTTTTGCTTTTCGTCGAAATTCCCCCTGTCGGGGGACAGGCCCGACTTGACTCTAGACCTGGCGGCCCAGGCCCGGGCCCCCCTCGAGCCTGGCGCGCCTCACGGCGGGAGGTCTCTGCCGCCATCTCGATGGGCTCCGGAGGCCCCTGCCGGGCCCTGAGAGACTGCCAGAGGTCAAGCAGTGGCGAGGCGTGCCATGGCTCGCCTGTAGCCCCACCAAACACTGTCAGGAGGGGAAGAGACACACAGACAAATTCCATCGTCGATTCCCCAGAAAGTATGAGAAAATATGGGGGAAGTGGGGGGGAAGACAAAACCCTAGAACATATAGAACGATATGTGGAATCATTTCATTTGTGTGTATTTATTTGTGTGCGTGTGTGTGTGTGTGTTGTGGGCCCCTTTCACAATGTTCTAAGAACTGTTTGTGGTTTCCACGAAGCGTTCTTAGAACATGTCTGGCGGAGTCCGTCCTGTTTTGTCCCATCGGGTTTATGTTCGAAGAACACTGTTTTGTTCTGAGACCATGTTTGGGTTCTAAGAATATTCCGTAGGAGGACTATAGCAATGTCGGGACTGTCGGTCCCTGCTCAACTGTAGCCCCACCAAGCAATGTTCTAAGAACCTTGTGGTTTCCACGAAACGTTCTTAGAACATTTCTGGCGGAGTCTGTCTTGTTTTATCGAATCGGGTTTATGTTCGAAGAACTTTGTTTTGTTCTTAGAGCATTTTTGGGTACTAAGAACATGTCGTGGTAGGACTAATGGAATGTCGAGACGGTCGGTCCTTGCTCGAAGAAGACTCGGGATGAAGAGCCCGTCCCCAGGACGGGGTGGAGACCTTTGGGGGTGCACGTTGACAATCACGACGCCGGGGGCCGTGGGGGAAGCAGAGGGCGACGATGACGGGAGTGAGGATGGAGGGAGAAGGAGCTCACGTGGAGGAAAGGGAAGAGGATGGGGATGAGGACCAGGAAGAGGAGGAGGGGGAGGAGGGGGAGGAGGAGGAAGAGGAGGAGGAGGAGGAGGAGAAGGGGGACGAGGAGGAGGAGGAGGAGGAGGAGGAGGATCAAGGGGAGAGGAAGGACAAGTCCATGAGCAAGGCAGAACAGTGTCCGAGGTCCTCTCTCCCCCCTCCGCCCTTGCGCCGCCCCAGCCGACGGCGACAGGGGAAACAATCAAATACCGATGTTTGTCATCGCTCGGACGAGTGCAGTTTTCCCGGTGCGGACCATCGAGGAGCACCTTGGACCATCAGGCGAACAAATGCATCGCACGACGCTGAGACATGCATGGGGAGATGACGTCCGAGCGATGGCAGGCGATCCCATTGGTCCTGGGACCTCGGCGACATCCGAGACGATTCCGCGGTGGCGACGAGGGCTCTCCATGGAGGCCCAGGCAGGACGGCGAGGGGAGGGGGTGTATGCGGCGGTAT